CAGAAAAATGTATAACAGATTTTAAAATAAATGTTGTTTCAATAAAAAAAATGTGATTATTTACGCGTCTCTCCTTGAGTTCCGTCCCTTGCGCTATCTCTCTCTCGTGCACTAGTTATAAGTATCGTGATATCTCTTTCTCGCACGCGTTGTCTTCGCGCTATCGTTCTCTCTCGCACGCGCTAATTGCAAGTCTCGCGATATTATCGTTCTCTCTCTTGTACATGTCGTCTTGGTGCTATCGTTCTCTCTCTTTCATATACTCGTTGCTCACTTACCTTTGCGTCGTCCTTCTCCCGCCTATACGTCGTCCTTGTCCCACGTTAACGTCATCCTTGTCGCACTGTCCTCTTCACACACTTTGCACTGTCCTTTTCCCATACGTAGCGCTGTCTTTCTCACACCACCGTCCATCTCTCACGCCGCTGATCCCCCTTCACTGCGCGGACCCCCTCATTCATCGCTCGCGCCGCGGATCCCCCTTCCCCGCGGGTGACGTCACCCACCGCGCGCTGCGGTTCCTCCTTCCCCGCGCATGACGTCACTCCCCCCGCACCGCGGTTCCCCTCGCGCCTCACCCCCCCTGAGAGGACCTGGGTTAGAACTCTCCTAGTATCACTACTGACGCGTTACAATACGCGGGATGTATTTTCTTATTTTTAATATTACAAATATATATATTCGTTGCGACGCGTTACAATACGCGTAATGTATCTTTTCGTCTGTAATATTACGCAAAAATATACGTATATTCGTCACAATATGTCGGCTTTGTCGATCCACGAATTATGCGACCTGTCCATTTCCAGCCACTTCACGAGAACCGCGTCGCCCTTTCGGCGCAGCACTCTCTCCACGAGATACACATCAGGATCGGAGACTCGCTGCAACTCGTGCTCGTAGAATCCGCCGGCTATCGGCTCGCCGCGCGAATCCTTCAGCAGATACGTCGCGGGATTCGTCCTTCGCACCTCGGCTACGCGGAAGATCTCCGCAGTCCAATTCGGCGTGTATCCCTTCTCGAACAGCGTCTTGTACTTGCTCACGCGCACGGGATCGTTCAGTCGAAATTTTCCCGGAGCGGCGATCTTCGGGTGGCTGTACACCGTCGACAGAAGTCTCGACGCTCGAGCGGGCGTCACGTCGATCGGACGCATCCCGATGGTTCGATGCTTGCGAGCGTTGTACTCGGATATTAGACGCGGCAGCGCGTCGAGCTTGTACGTTCCGTTCAGCGTGAAGTACTTCCACATCGAGTTCTTGAGCGTGCGATTGAAACGCTCGACGATCGACGTTTTCAGCACCGAAGTCGAGTAGTGATTGATTCCGTGTCTATCTACGAATCTTCGCACCTCGGCGTTGTAAAACTCCTTTCCTTTGTCGGTCTGCAGATTCCTCGGTCGACGTCCGGAGGCGCGCGTCACGCTCGACAGGGCTCGAGCGACCTCGTCGCCGCTCTTTCTCTTGAGCGGTACCGCCCACGCGTACTTGCTCAGAGCGTCGATGACGGTGAATATGTAATTGTGGCCTCTGTTCTGTCCGGCGTAAGGACGCATCTCGACGTCCGCTTGCCACAAATCGTCGTATCCGCGCACCGCGACGCGGCGGCGGAGGAAATTCTTTCTCGCTGGCGCGTGCAGCTCGTTCACGAGTCTCCGTTTCGCGGCGCTCATCTCTCCGTCTCTATTTTTTTTCTACCCTCTCTTCGACTGTTGCTTATTAGGAGTTTTAGTGCCCAGTTGTATAACTATCTTATTTGGATCGATCGTCTTAGGAATCGCAGCTGCCGCCGCTGCCGCCTTCGCCGCCGCCTTCGTCGCCGTCGTCGTCGTCGCGGCCGTTCTCCTCGCGAGTTCGTTCGCGTCTTTCCTCAGACACGCCACCTCGGCGTTCAGTTCTCGCAATTTCGCGTTAGAAGTCAGTGCCTTCGCCGTCAACTCCTGCAGCGTTCTGTCGTGACCAGCCCTCTGACACTTCCTATTATGCCTTTATATTGATGTGTCCACTTAATGAGTCTAATCCGCTATGCGGCGCTGGCAACAGTCACCACCGTATTTACGTTTTATCATAACCTACGGTACATACCGTACCTGACATACATGCAGTTACATGTGTCTGATGTGTCTTCAAGTTCAAGTGCTTCAAGTGTTGTTCTCTATAGGATTGCCTCCTTTCTTTAATCCGTTTTTTATAATTATTTATTTTTATACTTATATTGACAATCGGCAAAAAGTGACCTACGTCAACGTGAGTTAATATCGTCAATTAAAACAATTTTTTATAATCTCCTAACTGCAACAACTTCATACATACACAATCACTAGCGTCTAATTAAGGCAAAAAAAATCAAGTTTTCGAAAAAAGTAAATAAATAATGTAAAATTAAAAAATTTATTTTATTTTAGATGCCACGTTGCATTGTACTTGGATGTACATCGGGTTATAAATCTAATAATGAAAAAGTTCATTTCTTTTATGTCCCAAAGGACGAAAATGTAAGAAAAATATGGCAAGCAGCTTTAAGAAGAAAAGATATTATTATAAATTCAACACAAGCTGTATGTCATCATCATTTTTTGACCAACGATATTTTATGGAAACGTGAAATCTGCGATGAAAAAGGAAATGTTCTTGGTGTAGTAAGTTATATTAATTACATAATTGTACTTTTATTAAATAGATAAGATTTATTTAACACTAATAATTATTACAAACACAATAATAAGAATTATTGTTAATAATTATTAATGTAATTAACTTTATTAAAAAAGTTTTTTCAAATAACTTAATAATTAAATAATAGTTTTTTAAATAATTATATAATTTATGTAATTCTTAATGTAATTGTAAATGTTTTATAAATATTTTTAGTCTGCCCCATTTAAAATACCAAGATTACGGAAAGGGGCTGTACCATCACAATTCCCCTGGACTGAAATTTCAAATAATATAAAGAATATAGATAATAATATAGAAAATGAATATCCTCAAGTTTCAGATGTACACATTGAAAAATATAAAGATGATCATGCGACATTGCCATTATTTGATAATATAATAGATATTATAAATAAAAAACAATTTCATATGCCCAGTCAGTGGATGCATACACAATATTTTAATAAAGACACACGGTTATTGATATTCTTCTTACCAATATGCTACAAAATTGATAATTATGAAGACAAATATTCACTTAATTCTATCAAAGAAGTTATACTTAAAGAGAATATGACATTGCAAATAAATATTGTGAAACAACACATTTTAAACATTCCATGACATCTACGAATCCATAACAATATCAATAATATAGACCAGTTAAAAGAGACATTATTTTCTTTTGATAGTCTTCATATATGTCCTGGTGTAGATAATATAAATGAAATTGAAGATGTTGAATATAATCAAGCTTTTAAAGATATTTGCGGTAGATGGAGACACAAAAAATGTTTATTATTTTCATTGTTTTATTTAGAAAAATGTAAATTTTGTTCCATCATGAAAAAATCTATAAATCAAAAGTATCGGCGCAAAAAAATAATGAAATCAATTAAAAGAATTAAAATAGTTGCACCTACTACAGAAAAGCAACAGAAAATTTTACTATTACGAAAAAAATATTACAGAGCAGAAAAAGCGAAAAATAGAGCTAAATATGTAGCAAATAAGTTGAGAAAAGATCTTACGGATAATATGACAAAGATTGAAAAAATTCCTATAAAAAATATAGAAGACCAATTAAAAGAAAAACAAATTCCTCAAAATCAATTGATCGCAATACAAGAAATAATAAAAACTACAAAATATAAAAATAAAGGTCATAGATATAATGAAGAATGGATTTTATTATGTATGTTAATGCACATGAAATCACCTAAGGCTTATAATTTTTTAAGAGAGAACCAAATATTACCTGTTCCATGTATTAGAACTATACAAAGGTATTATATAATTTTTTATTATTTTAGTATATTTTCAAGTCAGAAATACATAATGATACGTACAAAATGGCAACAATACTTTTTATCTAATTATGCAATATAAATTTTTTTAGATATCTTTCTCTTATTGATTCTCAGTGTGGATTCGATATAAAATTTTTTGAAATGTTCAAATTAGCGTTGGAAAAAAAAGAAGAGAGACAAAAACACGGTGTAATTTTGCTCGATGAAATACATCTCAGAGAATCTATTAATGTAAACTCGAAAAATCTCACATATACAGGATTGATTGATTTTGGAAGTGAAAATATACGACCAGTTAATCTTGATGAAAAAGCAGATCATGGTTTAGTGATAATGTTTCAGCCACTTGCAGATTTTTATTCTCAACCGATAGCAGTGTTTGCTTCGAAGGGATCTGTAACAGGGGAAATACTTGCGCAACTTATAATTAAAGTACATATACAGATTTATTTATATTGTATTTTTCTCTCAAAGTTGTATAAAAAAATTACAAAATGTATATGTAATAATATTTTTATATTATTTATATTTTTTATAATACAGGCTATTGCATTATTAGAGAATATAAATGTTAAAGTTCATGGCATAATTACCGATGGTGCTGCAACAAATAGAAAGTTTTGGAGTACAGTGGGTGTATGTGGAAATAAAGATAAATTAATTAATAGTTTTAATCATCCGACTGTAAACGGACGTTGTATATACGTATTCTCAGATACACCGCATCTTCTCAAAACAATAAGAAATCGATTATATTCAACATCATTACAGGTAAAATAATATTAAAATTATTTTGATAATTTAGCTTTCTTTATGTTATTTAATAATGTAATAATATTATTAAAAGCGGGATTTTTTTTTAAAAGTAACTTATATATTTTATGTTTATCTTATTAGCTTAGTCCTGATGAAAAATTTATAAAATGGGATTATTTCCAAATATTACATGACAAAGATAAATCATTACCATCTCAAATGCGAGTATGTCCAAAAATAACAACAAATCATTTGATACTTACCAATGCAGCTAAAATGAGAGCTCGCCTAGCTGCTCAAGTAAGAAATATATCTTAACAATATTTTATTTAAAGAGTATAATATTTTGTTAAAAATTTCAATAAGTTTTATATATGTACTTTATTTTTATAGGTTTTTAGTAAATCGATGGCTTATGGGTTAAGATTTTATAAAAATTTTTTACCTGAACTGCAGGATTGCGAGAATACTGCAAATTTTTGCGAGTGGGTTAATGACTTATTCGATGCATTGAATCGAAATAAATCTGGTTTGACAGTTGGAAACGCAGACTACAAAGTACATTTAATTTTAATAATCAATTAATATTTTAATAATCAATTAATATTTTAATAATCAATTAATACATATTAAAAGCTAATATTTTAATTTTTTTAACAGATTTTAGAGGACTCTCTAAATAAATTAGATATGTGGGAACAACATGTTAAGAATGGTGCTGTTATGGAAAAAAATTTTCTAACAAGACAAACTGCCGATGGTCTTCGCGTAACAATAAAATCTACATTAGATTTAGTAAAATATTTAACAGAAAATATTGGTTTCCCTCTGTTTTAACAGGTCGTTTAAATCAGGATCCACTTGAGGTTTGATGTAAAAAAAACTATATATATATGTATGTATAAATACATACATACATATATATATAGATATATGCGTGCGTGTATATATATATATGTATATGTATACACGCTTATCATACATACATGCACATACAAATGTTTTTATATATTGTATGTGTATCTGTATGTATACACATACAAATATATGTACACACACACGTATACGAAATATAAAACATATATGTATGTATGTGTTTATATATATATATATATATATATATATATATATATATGCGTGTGTGTGTGTGTGCGTGTGTAAGTATGCATTTATTTATAATTAAAAAACAAAGTTTTTAAAAAAATAGCACTTATATAAAAGAATTACAATGTAAAATGTAAAAAAATTTCTTTTTTATAGTTTTGAATTAAAACAGAGAGGGATAATAAACATTTATAACTTCATAATACTAAAAAATTGTAATAAATAAGGATATTATAAAGAGGTAATGATATTCTTTATAAAAAAATAATGATTTTTATTTAGAGTAGATTTTGTTTCAATCAGATATTTAAATTAATTATCCAAATATCATGATAATTAATGAAAGTTATTGTGCAGCACACACACACACACACACACCACACACAATATACACACAGTTCTAAAAATTTATTATATGCAGAATAATTTTTAGCATATAATAACTTTGTAGCGATAATTTTTATTTTTGTTTTGTATTAATATTTTTCTATATTTCCTGTAGAGATTTTTTGGTTCAGTAAGACAAGCAGCAGGATCAAACGATCATCCCGGAACCCCAACGTTTCTTCAATTATATAAAATTTTAAGTACTTCTAGCATTCTTAAACCCCCGCGTTATGGAAATTGCTCACTTACAGAAGAAGAATCTAAACCTTTAATCTCTATATCTGATATAAAACAATTATATCAGAAATCCAACAAAAAGTCATTATTAAAATTAAAAGAAAAATTAAATCATGCTATTAGTAATACCGAATGGACTTTTGATTATTTAATGGAACATGATTATAATCGACCAGAAATTACAGATTGTATTGTATATTATACAACAGGATATTTATGTAATTATATCTTAAAGTTCATAAAATGTGATATATGTAGGAACGCATTTACTAATCCTGTGGCGTGTAGTCCTTTTCCTGCAGCTCTATTAGCAAATATGAAAAATGATAGTCATTTAACGCACCCAAATTTAAAAATGTTTAACTTTATAAAATATTTAGAATCTTTATTTTCTAAATATTGTCATTACGCCGATGCATATGATTTAATTTTAGAAAACATTTATGCAGAAAATCTGTCTTTTCCATGCAAAGAACATAGTGATATTATTTTGTCAAAAATAATAGAATTTTATATTCGTACACGTATGAGGCAATATTGTAATAAAATTAATAATGAGGAAAAAAACAAAGTCAAAGTGTTAAAAAATCAGCAAAACATTATAAAAACTAAATAAACAGATTTTGTTCTTCTAAGAAAAATTGCCTTATCTATTTATTTTACATTATTATACCTTATTTCACTTTATATTACACACACACACACACACACACATTTTATTAAATATTTAATTCTCAAAAAAATAGGAAAAATTAAATAATTTTTTTAACTTTGGAAATAATTTAAATATATGTATATGCGTATATATAGAAATAATTAATAATATTAATTAATATATAATTAATTATATTATTAATTATAATAATATAATTTGTTTATTGACTAATTAATAAAGTTATAATATTTAACAATAAATTATATATAAACTCTCATGTATAAAATGTGTAATTATATAAAAATTATAAAATGTAAGCTTTTTATTGTAATGCTTTGCGGGCTTTGCAGTAACAAATCTGTATACCTATATATATCAAGTGTGTTGAATGACGCCAGCGCCACGGCTTCAATAAGTGGACATCTGAACTAACAGAAAGCAGGGGCCTGGTCGTGACCGCTCAACGCGGCTCGATTTCTCTCGTTGTTCTCCGTTTTCGGTCTACGTTGTTCACGTGCGACAGAGATCTCTCCAAGACGCACACTCGCTTCTCCATTTTCTCGTCGATCTCCTCGAGCCGTGCGATGGAGGTCCTCAGTTCGCGCAACAGTTTGCTTGACGCGTCCCCGTTCGCCCGATTCGTCTCGACGGAGCTCTCCAGATCGCCCAGTCGCTTGTCGGCGACCGCGCGCGAGGCCGATCTCTCCGCCTCGACGGTCTCGATCCTCGTCGCGGCGAGCTTCTGCAGATTCTCCAGCGTTTGCAGCCGATTCTCGAGAGAGTTCCCCCTCGCGCGAATCTGCGTAACGTCGGTATCCAGAGCTCTCGATCTTTCGGTCGCGGCGCTCTCGAAAGCGTCGATCTTCTTGCTCAGAGTGACGATTTTCTTCGCCGACGAGGCTGCGTTGTTATCCACTCGCGTTCTCACACTCGCGATAAGCTGGTGATTATTCACCACGCTCTCACCACGTGTATAACGCTTTCGACGTAACTCTTGTTCGTCGCGTCGTCGTTGTTGGTCGGCCAGGCCACTCCTCGTGTCTTGAGATGCCGCGCGTCGTAATGCGACGCGGAGGGAGAGACGTCGGAGACGGTCAGGCACAGCGCGTTATCGCGCACGTAATTTCGCAGAGATTCCACGCTCGCGCGCAATCTAATTCTCGTCGCGTCGCGACCGCATCTTCTCCGCGTCGACACTCCGAAATTGCTCGCGAACATCGCGTCGTCGAATGAAGCGTGCGCGCGCGTCGCCGTGATCGTCTCACAGTATCTCGCCCGCCTCGCAAAGCTCTTCGATTATCGACAGGATCTCGTTGTCGTGAGCGTTGTTACCGGCTTGACGAGAAGCGTCCAGCAATCGAAGACGATCCACCAATTCGTTCGGATCGTCCCAGTGAACATAGTCCACGGTGTCGCGGGTTGCACGCATAGCCCGCGGCACGCGACCCCCGCCGATTTTCTTCCTCGGATTGTCCGTCTGCAGGATCGGAGCTATGCTTGATCGGAGACATGCTTGTACTTGTATCCCTTGTTTCCTAGTACGGGCATGCGAATATTGTGCTCGCGCCTGTGAGCGTTAGTTTGCAGAAGTATGCTCCTGTACGCGGCTTTGTCTCTCTCAGTGTACTTGAAATCGTCGGATTCTCTTGAAGATCAATTCGTACAGACCGGGAGTACCGGCGTATCTGACTCCGTCCACGAATATCGCGTCGTCGGCACCTACGTCGAATCGCTTGTTTCCGAGCATAGTGCCGGCGTCGGCGAAGTAGACTCCGTAAACGTGATCGAAATCGCTCGGTGCGTCGCCGCTGAAAAGAGCGCCCACGTACTTTCGCGCCAACGGGCCCAATTGATTGCGCAAGATGTCTCGCTTTCGAGGAGTCCGCAGAGACCGTCTCACAGACGTTTCGAGCGTCGCCGGCGATCCGAAGACGTCGTCGCTCGTCTCGAACGTCTCCTCGACGGGCGGCTCCGCGAAGAGGTCTCTGCTCGCAAATTCGCGCTGCTGCGCGGGAGACACGTTCAACGCTCCCACGGGCGTGGAAGTCGTCGCGTTCAGACGGCGAGATCGCTTAGCTTTGAATCCTTTCGCGGACAGCGGCGGTAACGCGCTTTCCTCGGCCTCTTCCTCATCGTCCTTCTCCTCCTCCTTCTCCTCCGGCGTTTCCATTCTCTTGACGTCTCGCGCGAACATCTCGTTGATCTCGCTCTTCGCCGGTTCCATCTCTCTCGCGCTCGCGCCTCGCGCGGAATCGTCTCCGACGCGCTCGGCGATGCATCGCAACGGTTTGACGATCGGTTTGAAACGCGTCTCCAGAGCGCTATCGCTCTCCATCCTTCCGGTCTTCAACGCTCTGTGCTTCCTGCGAATCGACGCGCGCGTTCTCGCTATCTCTATCGCGGTTTTCTCGCGTCTGTCGACGTCCGTCATCGCGCGTCGTTCCTCGGCATCTCGCCTTCTCTCATCTCTCTCCCCTCTACGATCGCCGCCGTCTTGGGAAGACTGACTCATCTTTGGCGACGACGATGACGACGCTCGCGACGCTCTACGGCACGGCGTAATCGTTGAACCCTTACCTGTATCTACCGTAGCGCAGCGCGCTATCTTTGTCGATCACTAGAAAACCGTATCGGTATTTCCAACACGCGCGACACAGCGCGTGAAACTCCTCGTACGACATATCGGTATTCACGTGATCGCTGTGCACGTGTTTCAGATTAGTGCCATCCTGCTTAAAGAGTATCAATAGATTTGCGTTGTCGCATATCAAATGTTTGGGTATCTTAGCGTACGATTGGCACAGATAGAAGCAATCGACCTTCGCGTGACGCCCCATAGCGAAGTACTCTCTCACGACGTCCTGTTTGTCGCAGGCCACGTCGTCGAACACGAATATCGAGTTCGGCAACGCCTCGCTAGGCGAAATGACGTCGACGTTGTTCGAATACGTGAAGTAACCGATATCCCGCATAGGTTTCAACAATTTCTCCAGATATCGATATTTAGGCTGATGCAACGATTTCGAGTAAACGTACACGTTCTCGAATCGCACGCCGTGCGGGCTTTCCAGAAGGCTTATCAGCACGTTCGTTTTACCGCAATTAGAGGGACCGCAGATTACGCAGCGAATTGCTGTCGGTAACAGATTACCATGTTTTCGCGGTTCCTCGTTCATCGAGCGCGTCTTACCGTCGACGTTGGACACTCTTATCACGATCGTTGACGCACGAAACGCATCGTTTTTTTTCTCTCTCTCTCTCCTCTCGCGATTCTTCCTCGTTGTCGCGAGCGAATCTGCGTCTCAGTGCGCAACGAGCGCGGATTCGCCCTCGCGAGCGTATATAGAGGAGGAAAAAAAAGGATCGCAGTTAGGCGTGTCCGATCGACGGTGATGCGATAAAGTTACGCGCGCGACGCTTCGTCATGTTTATTCTATTGGTGAACGATTACGATATTTTCGGACTCAGCGTCGATCAGTTGCAGTACGTTCCGAAGAAGCTTCTACTGGACAAGTACGGCGATTTCGTCGATCGATTGTGGGAGAGATTGCCTATACATCTGAAGGACGATCCGGACGTGTAGCGTTATCGCCTTTGTCACAAGCATCACAATCAGCTGTGGCAAGACACGCACATCGACGGTCCGCCGCCGTGCATCAAAGACTGCGGCATGTGCCGGGAGAACGAAATGGCATGACGATGAGCGCGTCGACGATCGAGACGTATGAGATACGCCGAGGACGCCGCGACGGCAATCGTCGGCGGTAGCGGTTTGCTCGATAGACCTAAACGCTCTTCCGTTCGAACTACATATACCGGGATATCAGTTTTGCGGTCCCGGTACTCGTCTCGCGAAGCGGCTCGCGCGAAGCGATCGAGGCGTCAATCCGCTGGACGCGGCTTGCCGCGAGCACGACATCGCCTATTCGCGGAGCGACGATCTCGCCGATTGGCACGTCGCGGATCGGGCGCTCGGAGCGAGAGCGTTCGAGCGTATCCGGGCCGGGGATTCGACTCTCGGCGAGAGAGTGGCGGCGTCGACCGTATGGTCAGCTATGAAGGCGAAGACAAAACTAGGAATGGGTATGGCTGGAGCGCGAAGAGGCGCGAGAAAGAGCGGCGGCGGCAAGAGAAGAACGAGGAAGCTCGACGAGGAGGAGGACGACGAGAGGACGGGTTCTTCCCGCGGCGAAACGCGGCGGCTTTCTGTCGCTGATCGGCCGGCGTGGCGAAGATGGTGAACGACGGTAAGGCCGCGCGTCGACAACTGGAGGAGCTGCAGCGACACAATCGAGCGATGGAGGGTCGCGGTTTGTATCTTCGCGCCTTATAAGCGCGGCGGAAGCATCGCGAGACGAGGCGGACAAACGGTTAGGAGGAGGAAGAAAAAAAAAGGTTGCGCCTTCGCGCGCGTTAGACGACGTCGTAGCTCCGATCGGCGTCACGACGAACGAACAGTTGAATAGCGCGGCCAAGCGCGCTCGCGTGCGTCACTTCAGAGGTGTGTTCATGCGCGACGCGTTGCCGGCGCGAGTTCGTCGCGACGAGAGTGGAATCGTGAACCTGGACGACGTCTCGGGGCCGGGCACGCATTGGGTGGCATACGCTAAAAGAGGAAAAGATGCTATCTACTTCGACGCTTTCGGCAATCTTCGGCCGCCTCGAGAACTCGTGCGTTATCTCGGACGCGACACGCGCATCGCGTACAATCGCGACTCTCAGCAGACGTACGATCAGAGCGTCTGCGGACAATTGTGCCTGCGCTTCCTTCGACGAGTCGATTGGGGAGGAGGAAGGAGGAAGCCCTTCGGTCTCTAACGGCGATAGCGCGCATCATCATGTCGCTGATTCTCACGCTGACCGGAAGAAGCAATGTTCTCGCGGCGAGTTACTTTCCACCTCTCAATCTGAGCGACGACGATTATGAGCTCGGCCTGACCATACGACAATACCATGAGAAGCGAAATCAAATGCGCGTACCGAATTAATTTCACCAAACCGAACAATATCGGATCGTTATTAGGTTTCTCCCAGTCTCGCGTATTGCGATCGAACAAATGGTACGCGTCCGACGAACCTGTGAGCATTATCGCGGTTAACACTGTAACGGTCGTATTTTCGGACATTTTTCCTAGCGCGGATAGATCGGTGCTGGGTTTCTTTAAATGAAAATACGCGGTGTGTAGTATAATTGCGTTTATTCAGATCGTATGAAGATGTGTACAGAGTTGGAGTGTGTGTATACGAGTGTGTGAGCGTGTGTGTGAATATAAATGTTCATGTATAAGTCGCGTGGTTCGCGTAATTATGCCAAATATAAACGCTGATTTAATTTCGGCCTCGTTTTCGCACGCCGGCGGGTGTTTACTATCGCGCGAGACGGCGCGCGTTTTTGCGGCGCTTTTTCTCGCGGTGATTCCGGTATTTCGAGAATTCGGTTCTCGGAATCAACGGGTGATTTCGCCGTATTATTTATTTCGCGGCGTCGCGATTTAAAGCCCGCGTACAATCCTGATCTATGCGCTTTAATTCGGCGGCGTTTACGCGTCTATCTCTAGATGTCGAGATGCGCTCGCTTAGTTGCATACAATGCGTTTAGGCGCGTCGTCGGACGATGTGATTAACCGGTGCGCAGAACGCTTAAAATGACGGTGTCGGTGATTAGTACAAAATACGCGTGCGGCGGTGGTCGGCGCGTGCAATTCCGGAATTCTTTCGCGAAGGATGGGTTGCGCGATGCAGCTGGATCAAGATCTCTTGATCCGGGGCGGCTAAGAGCTCCACCTTCCGCGACAATTCAGCTGCGGATTAGGCGGATTGCACTTGTGCTTCGGAACCGAGATCACTCGTCTGAGACGGAGCTCGCTCCACCTTTTGTCCTTAGCTTGTAACGTTCCGATTTTCCGGACACCAGATCGCGGATAAACGCGTCGGATTCTGGGTAATAAATGGTGAGCGAATTGTGAGTAAAAAAAAGAACTGATTTATTTAGATAGAATGCGTGTGTACAAGTTGTGTGTATCTTGCTGCGAGTATAAATGTGAGCGTGTTCGAGTGTATAAATGTCTGCGTTGCGAGTATAAATGTCTGCGATGCGCGTATAAATGTGAGTGTGTTCGAGTGTATAAACGTCTGAATGCGCGTGCAAAATGCAGTTGGTTAAATGCCGGTATAACTGCGGTTCGTAAACCGAATGAATCCGCTGGTATAATTCGCGTGTATAAAAACGTTGTTTTGACGCGCGCGGATATGCGCTCAGAATCGGTCGAAGACCTCGCGTTGTTTTGATGGCGTTTTTGCCGCGTTTCTTGCGCGGGGAATCCCGTGTACGGAGAACAAGCTGGTGGATTCCGTGAAATAATACGTTATTTTCGCGAACGGGAATATCGCTAATAATTCTGGATCGTATTTCGAAATAGCTGGCCTCGAGAATTCTCGATCGGGGCGGCTCTGAACTCCACCTTCCGTGGGTTTTGCCAGCCAGGATGTGGAGGAGCGGATGGAGGCAGTACCCCACGCGATAGCGAGAACTCTCGGCTCAGGCTGAGTACTCTCGACCTGTTTGATCGGGGCGGTAGTGCCGGTTTTAGGTGCTTGGTAATTTCTCTCGAGCGTACGGCTTAAGAGCGGAACAGGAGAATAAGTCTATACGCCGAAATACGGCTTTTTTATACCGGCTAATTACCCGCGTCGGCGCGCGGCGGTGTTACCCCTTCCGAACGGGTTAATTGCGGTACGGTACGGTCAGGCCCGTTCGGAGGGATTCGGGTTTGCGCCGAGCGCGGGTTTTCGCCGTTCGGTCGGTCGGGCCGCGTCAGCTTCGCTCGGCAATTCTCGGCCGTTTAAGAGCTTTGATTTCAACGGCCCCGGTCTTTGAAAAGTATTAAAAATGTGGGCGCCCCTGCCTCTGCCCGGCGGGTATTCTACCGGGCGGCAGCTTCCGGCTGATGTTGTTGCCGGGAATTCGGAACGGTGCATCGGAGTGCACCGTTACAAGCTACTTAGTGCTTTTCGAGAGGATTTTCTGGATTGCTCTGAAGCGTACTGCTTAGAGCGGATCGGGAAAATGTGATTAAAGCTAAAAATGTGGCCCTTTTTATACAGGCTAATTGCCCGCTTCGGCGCGCGGCGGTATAACCCCTTCCGAACGGGTTTTCGGAAAACGGTACGGTCGGGCCCGTTCGGAGGAATTCGGGTAGGAGCCGAACGCGGGCTTTAGCCGGTCGGCGGTTCGGGCCACATCGGCTTTGTTCGGCGGTGTTTGGTCGAATTTCGATTCGAACGGTTTTTGGAAGTGTTAAAAAAGGTGGGCGCACCGCGCCCCTGCCTCTGCCCGGCGGCAGCTTCCGGCGGATGATATGCCGGGAATCGTAACGATGCACCGGGATGCATCGTTACAACACGATTCGCGTGGAGTGCAACCTGACGACGGGCGCGTACGTGAACGGGAGATCCGCCCACGCGATACACGAATTCGCGTCGAACGTTCCGCCGGGATATAAAGTGTCGGAGATCCCGAGGCAGATCATTTATCTGCCGGTCATCACGCGACTCGTGATCGACATATCGCTGCGCGTCATCGATCAGGACGGTCTATTGATCGATTTCCGCGGCGAGAAGATCTCGATTCGATTGCACGTGCGACGCAGACGATAGAGAGCACGCGGCGAGGCACGGACGGGGGAGGGAACGGGGCGATGCTCGTCGTACGCGAATCTAGCGTCGCGACGTCGCATCGCGGCGGCAGCGGCAGTGATCGCGATCGCGTCGCGGAAACTCGAGTCGCGCGCTCGAGAGAGAGGAGCGTCGGGGAATTGTCCGCCGCCAACGTCGCTTTTCTGCGATCCATGGGTTTCGTCGTACCGAGAGCCGCGCGATAGTTCGACGACATGAGGGACATTCTGAGCATCGGCGGGGAACCCGTCTTCGACGATCGCATCGTGAAGATCGAGAGTCACACGTACAATCCGTACGCCAACACCACTTTCGGATACAACGACGAGATACGAATACCCATACAACAGCAGGACCTATACACGCTGCCGTGCGAGAGTTTTCTCTACGTCGAAGGTAGACTACATACGAAGAATAATCAGCCGCCCGCGTCGAGCGGCGAATCGGGTACGCTTGCCTCGGCCTCTAAGGAGTCGTTCGTGTCTTCGACGCCGGCGTGGCTCGTGAACAATTGCGTCGCCTTTATGTTCGAGGAGATACGTTACGAGCTCGATGGCGTGGAGATCGTAATCGCAACGTCGATCGTAATCGCAACGTCGGAATAACTAGCACGATCAAGAACTACGCCTCGTTGACGGCCGAACGAGGCAAGATCTTGAAGAACGCCGGATGGGATCGCGCGACTGGACCGAGCGGCGTCGCGTCGACGGGTGACTTCAACTTCTGCGTTCCTCTCGACACGCTGCTAGGTTTCTGCGAGGATTACAGGCGCGTCGTCATCAACGCGCGTCACGAGCTGATTCTGATAAGAGCGCGAAACGATAACAATTGTCTGATATCGCGCGAGGAATTCGAGCCGAGAGTCAAGCTCGCGAAGATACAGTGGCGCGTGCCGTACGTGGTGCTGAATGACGTCAATAAATTATCGCTGTTGCGCACGTTGGACAGCGGCAGATATCTGAGCGCGTCCTTTCGCTCGTGCGATCTCTACGAGTTTCCGCTCCTGCAGAACACGACCAAACACTCGTGGTCCGTAAAAGCGGTCACGCAGCTCGAGAAACCGCGTTACGTCATCTTCGCGTTGCAGACCGGAAGGAAGAACGTCCTGTCGCAGGACGCTTCCAGATTCGATGCGTGCAATCTGACCAACGTAAAGTTGTATCTCAATTCCGACTTCTATCCGTACGACGATATGAATTTGGACTTCGAGAACAAGATAAGAACAAGATCGCCGTACTGTACGACGCGAGATTTCGACGAACGTATTACGGATACGCGAGCGACGTGACGCTCCTGACTATGAACAAATTTCTATACTGCGGCCCGCTCGTGGTGATAGATTGTTTCCGCCAAAACAAAGCGGTTAAGAGCGCCACTGTGGACGTTCGTCTAGAATTCGACTGCAAGGACAACGTTCCTTCTAACACTACGGTGTACTGCCTACACATTCACGATCGCATGGTGGAGTACAATCCGTTAACGAACGTCGTGCGTAAGATCTTGTAAGACGGCGCGTCGAATGGGGGAAGAGAAGAAACTCGAAATCGCGAAGATATCGGGGAGAGACGCGAATAAACGTCAGTCTCTCGCGACGATGACCGCGACGACGGTCACGGGTAATATCGCCCCGCCGATCTTCGTCAATCTGCAGGGCTTCGTCGTCAACAAGCGATTTATGACGAAGGAGATGGCGATACTCGCGAACGGCAGAGATCTGACACACCACGTCTTTCGCGCGCCGATGTCGTGGAATCTGCTGACGAAGAGCGAGAAGTCGCAGGCCTGTTGGCTGACTCTTAATCACCACGAATTCCACTGGACCGATGGATACGTGGAGTGTAGGCACGCGAAGCAGATCGTTCGCGATATATCACGCGTCGAGGGATCTCGAGTCGAACGCCGCGGTAACGATCTACGTCAAGGGTCGCGAGAAGAAGAAGTGGCTGACCGACATCGCGGGAGAGGTCGCGGAGCAGCGCGACCTGACGATCGAGACCATCGACGCCGATTACGAGGATATCGGACCCCTTCGAACACTAGCCACGACTCGCGTCTATCGCTGCGGCTATCACTCGAAGAATTGCGCCTCGGAAAACGTGTGCAAACTGCACAACTTGTGGTTGGAGAGACGCGATCAATTGCGCGACATGTGAACAGAGATGCGCGATGATTCGCGCGCCTCGCGCGTTTTCCGCATCGTAGATTAGTTTTGCGCGTACTCTTATCGACGACTAACTTTTTTATCTCGCGCGCGTCGACTTATCGCCTACCTAGAAAAGTATTATTAATATTTAGAAAGATACTATTAATACACTAAGAAAAATAATATTAATACTAAGAAAAAATAATATTAATATTAAGAAAAAATAATATTAAAATAATATTAATTAGCGAATAAACGTTAACTCGTATCGCGCGTACGCAGTTAAACGCATTTTCCGGCACTTCCTCCGGAGCAATCGAGAATTTATCGCCCTTCATTAAATTATCTCGTTATATTTCCGCGTCGCACGATTTTTTCATACCGCCTTAGATTATTGCATTAGCATTCGACGGAATCATAACGACTCGGCGATAGTAATATCACAGATATAAATTAACGCCGAGAGACCGTTTTTCCTCAGAATGAGTCTCGCGATCACGTTATTGAGTGCGCCTAATATTGCAAGTGTTCTCAGTGCGTCCTAGTGTGTCCAGTATTCATTCATTCTCAGAGTTATTTTTTCGTGCGAACGACGATGAGCGACGATGAGATTTCGAGATTGCGAAGGATGCTCCACGGATGCATGTTCACACCGTGGATGTGCGTCTGGAAAATAAAGTACATCAGAAATCTCATCCGATCCTCAATATAGCGGTAACGTGGAACGTAAGTACCCATTCATCATCGTTCTTTATTCTTTCGCTCTCCTTCGAGGAAAAATACGACGTACGTTGATCGCGCGACATTTTTCATAGTTCGAGAAGGAGGTGGAGATCCAAGGGTTCGTGAACATACGCCGCCGACATTGGATATGACAGACAAGACTGAAGCAACGTCGATTCTTAAACTCGTTATGGTACGACCGGCCGTCCTATAAGAAATGGGAGAAGCGCTCCCCTAATATCTACGCCGACATATTTCGGCTGAGAAGATTATTCGGTGGAGCCGCTCGTCTCGGATCACACGTTTAAAACCGAAGATTTCTGCGACGACGATTCTCCTGTGGAGATATGGTATGGTGATGCGAGCTCGATCGAAGAAACGAGCTCCGTCCGCACGGACGACAGCGGGTTTTAACCGAGGTATGGATCTCTTTTCGTATAACGCGCCGCTCTTTCATTTCGCGTATCTCGATACGAATTATTAATACGACGCTTTATATATTTCAGACATCTCGTCGAGCTCGACGTCGAAGGACGGCGCCGAAGGACGGCGCCGAAGGACGGTGCCGAAGGACGGCGCCGAAGGACGGTGTCGAAGGACGGTGCCAAAGGACTGCGCCTTCCCTTCCCCCGATCTCCGCCTGTATCGATCCCCCCTCCCCCTGCGCGTGTCGTTCGAACGCTTCTTAGGATTTTTTTGCCGACCACTGTCGATTTGAGAGCGATAAAACTCCTCGATTCCATTCGGTTTGTTCATTTCGTATCGTTCGCTACCACGCGTCTTAGTTTTCTTCCGCGAACGCTTGAATTTGAATCAATTTCGTTTTCGATAGACGGACGCGTCGGCGTGTTCTTTCGTTTTCGATCGACGGAAGTGTCGGCGCACTCTTTCGGTTATACGGTCCTCTATAGGTTATTCATAAGTCCCTTTTATAGGTCTTTTATGGATCATTTATAGGTCATTTATGAGTCATTTATAGGTTATTTATGGGTCATTTATAGGTTATTTATGGGCCATTTATGGGTCTTTTATAGGTCATTTATGGGTCATTTATAAGTAGCTTCCCAGGTAGCAGAGTGATGTCAAATGACATCTTAATAACATTTTAGTAATGTCATTGTACATCATTAAGACGTCTGGATACATTCATTCTGTTACTTAGGTTCTATAGGTCATTTTATAGATCCGACAACTTCCGTATGACGAAATGTAACTGCAACTTCTATATGATTGCATATAGCGAGTGTTGTCCTCGCGGTTCTTACGCTTTCCGCGTAACACCGCTGTATTTAATATGCAGCTCGTTTCAAAGGTCGTTTTGAAATTTAAAATTATTAAATTCATCTAAGAATAAAAATTGTCGCGTATACGCGAACCAAACGAACGCCTCAGTTTGAGTATATGAGTCTTCTTTTGCCGCTCCTTTTTTTTAAATGGTCGTTTCACAGGTCGTTCTTACAGTCGTTCTTACAGTCGTTCTTACAGTCGTTCTTACAGATCGTTCTTACAGGTTGTTCTTACAGATCATTTTTACAGGTCGTTCTTACAGATCGTTCTTACAGGTCGTTTTTACACACCGTTGCGCATTAAATCATTATATATTCAATCGTACAATATATTTTAATCGCTATATATTAAATCGTCATATTAAATCGTTATATTAAAACATTATATACTAGAACATTATATTAGAACATTAAATTAGAACATTATATTAGAACATTCTATTAGAACATTATATTAGAACATTATATTAGAACATTATATTAAGCGTTATATATTAAAGCATTACATTAGAACATTATATTAGAACATTATATTAGAACATTATATTAAGCGTTATATTAGAACATTATATTAGAACATTATATTAAGCGTTATATTAGAACATTATATATTAAGCGTTATACAAGTATACATAGATCGCGCAAATTTTGTACGAATAAAGAATCATTTTTTTAAAAAAAAAACGTTCGTTCTTTCGATCGCCCTTCTCGCGCGTCCGAGCGTATCTCCCCTCCCCTCCTCCTTCTCCCCTCGTACGATGCTTCCTCACGTTCTCGGGAGCGATATATCGCCGAAGGACTCGCGCGCGCGCGATAGTTCGCTACCGTCCTGACCCCCGCGCGCTAGCACCTCGCGAGAGCCATGACGCGCGTCGCGTTATCGCTCGCGCTGACGATATCCCTGCTCGCGGCCGTCGCGGCGACGCTGACCTACGATGACGTCGCGGAGGCGTTCCGTTATCTTCGAACCTACGGCTTTCTGGAGAACGAGGAGAATCATCAACAGTCATCGCTATTGGACAACGCGACCGCCCTGAGCGAAGCGCTATCATTGTTTCAGGAATACTACGGCCTGCCGGGAAACGGCGTTCTGACCGTGGAAACGATTCGCGTCATGCGCAGGCCGCGATGCGGCGTCGCGAACATTCACGCTTACAGCCCGTTGACGAGAAAGTGGCCGAGGACGCATCTCACGTGGAACTTCAAACTAGCGAACAGAGATACTCTGCGCACGACTCAGAGCGCGTTCGCTCTGTGGTCCGAGCAATCCTCTCTGACGTTTTCGCGCGACCCGCTGCGCCCCGATATACTGATATCCTATCAATCCGGCGCTCACGCGTACGAGAACAGCGACAATGGGGGCTCGTGCCCGTCGCCATTCGCGGGACCGGGATCGGTCGTCGCTCACGCGTTCTTTCCAACGGGAGAGCCCAATCAAGTGACCGAGGTGCACGAGACGGAGCTGTGGCACATCACGCTGACCAGGCCCCCATCGGACAGGCTGTATCTCCTTCAGACGCTGACGCACGAGATCGGTCACACTCTGGATCTGACTCATAGTATGAGGGAAGATTCAGTCATGTACGCGTACACGCCTTCGGAGGAAAGGCGATATCCGCTCAGACTGAGCATAGAGGACGTCATAAACGTGCGAAATCTCTACGGATCGAGAGAGACGACGAATCCTACGATCGTCGACGCTACTTCGACGACCGCGGCGACGACTACGACGACAGCGGCCTCGACGACGACGACGACGACGACGGCTGCGGCGCCGCCGACGACCGCGAGGATGGTTAAGACGCCGCTCGCTCCCTCCGATACCGCGGATCTATGCGCCTTGAAGCGCATAGACGGAGCGCTAATCATGAATTGTCGCTTGTACGTCGCGCGTAAACGCAACGTGTGGCCCATCGATATGAGGGAGAGACGCTACGGAGCGCCCTTCTCGTTCACCGACTACTTCAAGTTCCTCTCTCGCAATCTCACTCGCGTATCGGCCATGTATCAGAGACCCTCGGGCGATATCGCGATATTCGCCGGCGACTACGTCTACTTCGCCGATTCGAATTTTCATCTTAAAGCGGGATGGCCTAGATCCGTCGAATACGTCAGATTTCCCCGCGACGCTAGGATAAACGCCGCGATAAACACGCACGCCGGGCGCAGCTACGTCATATACAACGACGATAAAATAGCCGAGATGAACGACTGCGCGATGACCGTCGCGAGGCACGGCGCTCTGCGGGATACGTTTTCCGGGATACCATCCGCGATAACGACCTTCTGCCACGTCGACGGTAATCTCTATTTTCTGAAGAAACGCGAGTATTACGCGTACAGCGAGTTCATCG